ACACACACACACACACACACACACACACACACACACACACACACCTGTTTAAAACTCAAACCCAGAACCGAACTTTCTCCATCCTTCCTCTGATGGTTACATTTCCACAAATAAACTTTTTACTTTAAAACCTAAAAGAAAAAAAAAACATTAAACAGTGGTGTATTTTGATCCATATGCTTTTTGATTTAAACTTGTTTATAAATAAATGTTTTCATCCTCCTAATTGTCAAGTCACAGCTCTTTTGTCTGTGTGTGCAGTGTGTCAGCCCTACAGGTGTCCTCAGCTGACCTGTCCTGTTGGGATGTCGGTTGTGTCCATGTCCAGTCTTAGTCACTGCTGCCCCAACCAAACATGTGGTAGGACTCATATTACACAACCTGCTGCCTCTCACATGTTAGACTGAGATTTAACATTAAAAACAAGATGGCAACAGTTTATGTTTCTGTGGTTTTTTTTAGAGTGCTCCTGTGAAAAGATTGTCTCTCCAAAATGTGGCCTGGTATGTCCTGAGCTTTAATATTCAGCCTTTGTGTGACAGTGTCACTTGCTTCTTTGTTTTGTTTTATTTTTATCTGAAGAATACTGAAAGAGGAATTGATGTGAAGCATGTCTTTGAAATGATAAATCTAAAAACGTTTCTAAAGTTTTAGAATTTGAAGTCTGTCTTCAATACAGTTTATAATATACTGGAAGGATTTGAATGGTTTAAAATATTTGAGATAGTTCCTCTCAGTGAGGAGAGACTTCAGAAATATTTCAAAATACAACTGAACGAGCATCATTTGCTTCTATAACCACCCATGATGAGAGGGAAATCATTCTCCTCCTACTGAACTCACTTATTCAGATTTTTTTTCCATCAGCTGCTCAGTACAAAAGGTTAGGTCGTGCCATTCCATCCAACTTTAGGCCTCTGTAAGACTTGGTGGTGTAGCCTGGGTGGTTTCCTGATCCAAGTCAAATCCAGAATCTTGACCAAAATCTAATTTAAAAGGAGATTTGAATACATTAAAATATAAATAAAAATATATTCATTTTGACACACGGAAAAAGTTAGAAGAGACTAAAAATAATGTTTAATTTGTGAGGGCAAGAAAAGAAAATATTTTTAGAATGATTACCCATTATGTCAGCTTTGTTTCAGCAACACTCCAAAAACCAGAATTGAATTTGTTGATTGTCTGGTTGTTGAGCAGATACTGTTCTGTATGGGGAACCAAGTGTAAAATGAAATGTTACAAAAATTCCACTAACATTTTTTTCATTAGTTAGCTCACTTTTTGAATGTTGAAAAATTCCCACCAACATTTTATTGTTATTTATCTCACTGTTCTTACATGTAGCTAATTTTTACTAAATGTAAAATTTAAATGTTAAAAATATAATTAAATAATAAATCCTAAATCTAAATGTAAAAGTTAAACCCTAACTGTTGACGTTCACATTTAGGTATTTTGCTGTTGGCGCATGGCTCATATTATGACATCATCATCCTGAGACAATAGCAACTGCTAGTTCTTCGATGCAGCTAAAGCTTCCCTACAAGACATGAAAAATATCTTAGTGGAATTTTTTAACATTTTGTTTTTCACTTGGCGCCCCATAGTTCTGCTGTTCACTTTGTCTGCTAATATGTACTGTGTGAAAAAAAGTCTTGTGTGAAGCCAAACAAACTTGATTTTATGTGTGCTTGTTCTCGTAGTTACAGTCTATTTACAAAATACTACATTTATGAGGACTTGCTTCTCTTTGTTCTGCAGGGAGAAGCTGCACAGCTGGACCGGGCCTTCCTGTCTGACCCACAGAACCAGTGTGCCTGCAAACGATACAAGTGTGGTGAGTTCTGTTCACACTCACAGACAAGTGAGGCAGAGTTTTACAGCAAACACACTTTATTTTCCTCTCAGAGGTCAGTCCAGAAACTAAAGGAAGTCATTGAAACAAATGAACCAGAGCACCATGTTCAAGTAATGTTTTGTCTTTTGCACCAATTCACAGCAATAAACCAATTCAGTTATGTACAGAAACTGAAAGTTTATCCCTCCAATTTCAATTTATTACAACTTTTTCTGTTCAGTTCTGTTAAATTCAGTCTTATTAACCAGTTTAGTATAAAGTCCTAATGAATTCAGCTATAATCAAATAGAAGAAAATCTAGTTTAATTCAAATACAAATTTAATTGCAACCACGTTGAATAAAGTCCAAATTCACTCCATATAGTTTTAATTCAATATATTTCTAATAATTCAACACAATTTAACTCAGTCTGATTCTGATTTAGTTAATCTTATTCAGATTTAAAAACAAAAAATTCAAACACATTAAATTTAATTCTAATTATTTGCAATTTTGTTGATGCATTGCACTTCATGACAGTTAAATTTATGAAAGGCCCTTTAGGCCATAAATCAAACTTGCTTTCACATGTACTATCAAACCCTCTCACACATGCTTTGTTCACAAAGTAAATTAGTTTAATTGCATCGTATTTCATTAAAATTAAACTCATTTTAGTTCAGCACAGTTTAATTCTGTCCACTAGTAATACATTTTTAGTCATGGTAAAATTGAAATCCAGATTTATACAAACCACCCATTATGATTCAGTCCCAATTCAGCTGTTCATTCTGATCTATTTCAATAAAAGTCAGTAGATTCAGATATACAACTAAAGTAAACCACAGCTGAATAGTTTAGTTAAACTAAACTCAGTCCTAATATCTTGATCATTTTAGTTAGATTCAGCATTTTGATAAATATAAAAAGCCTGCTTAGGTTTTGAATCAACATTAAAAAAACAGTAGCATAATGTTTTAATGGGACTACAGATGGAAATTAGCCTTTTGATATATCTGTTATACTTACAACATTGTATTTTCATTAATATGCACTGTCCCATTTAAATAAAATCAGTCATATTAAATTAGTTGCATAAAAGAGCTTTTAATACTTTCTTGGAGGGTTAGATCTACTTTCAGTACGATCTCCTTTGATTTATTTATTGTAATGTTTGACACGTTCTAAAAGCTACAAATGAAGAAGAAAAATCCTCTGACCTCTGCTCTGTGTGTGTGTGTTCAGTGCGAGAGGCTGTGTGTGTGTTTGGTGATCGTGGACTGTTGCGACCGGGTCAGACTCTAGTGGAACACGGAGACGATGGTTTGTGTTACAGCCGTCAGTGCAGCCGCATCCTCGACCCAACGAGTGGCTTCCACCTGCTGCGCACCTCCACCGTTAACTGCTCCGCTCACTGCCAGCCTGTAAGACCCATACTTGTGCACAACATCTGGAAAAAACGTGTCTGTTGGCTTTTGTCTTCTCCACTGTTTTCTTATTAAACCATTGTAGGGGTTACAGTTTCTAAAGTAGTTTTGTTTACATGAAACATTCCTGGCTCAGGACTAAAAAGCACTGAATATATTTCACTTCCAGGTACTTCACTGTCATGTTGTTAACAGAGAATTCAGTTGAAAAGTGTCATATTTAGCTACTTCGACCATGGCTGGGTGAAATGAATTAAAAACTTTACAGTCTCATTCATCACTACAAAACAAACAAACACCCATCAAATACCAGAATCATGCCACTGATTAATGACATTTATGATGACGGATCTGCTTTGTGTCAAATGGAAACATTTTAGGCTGATGTGAGAAAGATGAAGACAGCTGAGTTGTAAATATTTCAAGATGTTTGTCCTGCTAAGTCTCCTGTGCAGATGCACTGTAGTTTAACCTGATTCCATAAGATCAGTTTTTGGTTTGCAGTTTCTGTAGTTTATTCCTGTGACCACCTGTTTTAAATACACATTTTAAATACACCCTGAAAAGTATAATCATGTTTAGGAAAAAATGCATATTTTTCTTTAATAGCAAGAAATACAACTGCAGAGACTTTAAATTCAAGTCAAGATGTCTTTAGAGTTTATTAACACAAAGAGTTGAGTGGCATCTGCATAACATAATCATGTTAATCATGGATCTTAAGAAACTATTAAAGATGTAAGTGAATAAAGAAAGGAGTACAAGGACTCATCCCTGGTGTACTCCACAAATCAAACAAAGGCTTTGTCACACTATAACTTTTTAGAAAAGTCATTCCAATGTAAAGAAATTTTGTCCAATTTTGTCCTCAGATAATACATTCGTTCAACTCACTATACAGACTGTTTATGTCCAGAAGAGTCATTTTGTTCCATTGTGTTGCACAGAAATTTCATATGTCTGCATATGTTGTCAGCACTGATCCTGTTTGTGTACAAAGCAAACCTGAATGTTTTTTGTTTCAGAATCAAATCTATGTGCCTCCCAAAGATCAGTCGACGTGCTGTGGTGTTTGCAAAAACATTTCCTGCTTCTATCAACATGAAAATGGGACCACAGGGCTCTATAAGGTAGGAAGACCTTTTCTGGTACTGAAATATTCATACAAGTAGAAATTACACAAACATTAATTCTAACAAAAAAAATTGTGTTATTCTCAAACGTTAGAGGTCTAACTCAGTTTTAGAGCTGCACCTCGTAGCTGCAGGAGTTCAGAAGCTGATGATGTTTTTGGTGTTTCCAGCCAGGAAAGTCCTGGGTGTCAAACTGTGTGACGTTCGACTGCAGCGACACTCAGTTTGGACCCACACTCATCTCGTACCCCTTCAGCTGCCCCCCCTTTAACGAAACCGAGTGTATGAAGGTCAGCAGCAGACACAGACACGAAGTCAGTTTATCTTCAGCTGGCATAAAACAACTAAACAGTATATATAGACTGATTAGTCT